TGCTGGAGAGGGGGGGGGGGGGGGGGGGGTAATAATATGTTGTTGTTCCATCCATTTGTGAGCAGCCTTTCAGAAGTTGCCATCGATTGGTATGCAGAACTGCTCGATGACTCGGTAAAAACATTCGCATAACTGTAAAGCCTATTCGTCAAGAGGTTTGTCGGAGCTCAACACCATGTCACTATAAGTGATCTCGTGGTAGAGAGAAAAAAACCCGCATAAACTTTGGTAGAATGCATCTTGTGTTAAATAAATCTCAGCATGAGGTGTGAACCATAGCTCCAAGAACAACAAGCAATTGAGATCCTGCTAAAAAACATAAACGATTTAGTGAGTTTCTTACTCAAGGGATTCACCATCAAAATATTCTAAAAGCTGCTCAGCGAAGCCAAAAGCTTGCTGAAAGAGGCAAAGCGGTTGGATTTTCTAGAAAATTCTGAGAAGCCAAAGCCGGTCCAGACATTCAAGAAGAAGTCCAGGATAGTGGTAGGGATGGACAAAAGCAAGCAGCCGATGCAGATTTAGGCCGAGCTGCCTCGACAGAACTACTAGCATCCACAATAATACAACCAACATCTGCAGTAGTACAACCAGTAATATACGTAACAATATAATGAAAATTCACAACAGAGCCAATATAAACATTCGCAGCATAGTCAAAAGTACCATCAGTAGCACGATCAACAATCTTTCCAGAAGAGGTCATACCAGATAGATGGAAGACAAGTTTCGTCCATGATTGAATGTTGAATAAAGTATATCCTTTCAAGGATGAGGCAATGGCGAAGATGTTCTGGGATTTGATCAAGAAGTCCGAATTCAAATTACCAGAATCGAACAAACCATATGATGTCGATAAGAAGGATCACCCTAGATATTGCCTATATCACGGATTGCTTGAGCCCAAAAGGGAGGGTTGTATCAGCTTCAAAGAGTGGCTCGAGAAGAACTTCAAGAATGAGAACATAATGATCCCAAAAGAATATTTTAGAGAACCTGAAACTGGTTCTATGAATAAGATTTTAGCCTATCTCATTGTTCTAATATATATATATATATATTTGTATAAAAAAACTTAAGACCATTATAATTTTGAGATTTAACAAGATAAATTAATTATCTTAGTCAAAATTTTGCTTAGAAAGATAAACTCGTTGTTTTTATTTTTAACTAATTACTTATTCTAATTGAAAAAAAAGATAGTACAATTCATCAGTAAGCATATAGAGCTATCATTCATATATAGTTGACACAATGTCAAATTTTTCTTTATGTCCATCAAAGATTAATACATGCTAATTTTCTTATGACATTTACATTATTAGTTTTCATAAATATTTTAATATTTTCTGATATCATATATTTTATTAAAATTTCTTTTTTTATTTATAGATTTATCTACACATTAAAATTATATAATTTAATGTTATTTGAGAAATAAAGATATAATATGTGAATTTTCTTAGTCTATTCCGATAAAATATTATACACTTTATTTTAGCGTCTATGATGAGCCAAATTAATGTAAAATTAATAAACTTCAATATAATTAGACAAATCCTAATCTAAACTAATAGTTAATCTAACATTTACTGAATTATTACGAGGGGGATATCTCTTTGCACGTATTATGAATTTTGTATTCCTTTGAGTATAATTTTAAATAAATGTATATAAATTTATAATAATTTTGTTGGTGTTTGGTTGTTTGTGAAAAATTAGGAGTTATTTATTTAATTGGTTGCTTATATTGTCTTTAAAAAATTTGCAATAACTATATATAGACATTAGAGGGCATAGTTTTGCACTTAAATGCATTTATAATTTGCATAGATTTATTATAAAATATTTTAGAATAACTTAATATAACATTTATATATAATTAAAAATTTTCAACAAGTAACATAAGGTCAACTATTATGTTGATTAGTGGAAAAAAATGCTCAGCTTTGATGAATGACTTATGA